TCATATTGACGAAACAGCTCGCACTGGCCGCCTTCATGGACTTGTCTGCAGAATTTGCAGCGTCGTCGACAGTAGTGAGCCGAGTGCCCCATTCTTCCACAAACTGCACAAGGTCCACGTTGGGTGTTGTCGCGTGATCCATCTCCACGATTCGACTGTTCTCGTTGGTTGTACGGTCGCGGAGGTCGGTTCGCTGAGTTTCCCCAGCTTCGGTTCGAGCCTTTCTGGTCTCCCGTCGAGTTCTCTCGGCGGTCCGGTGTATTTCCTTTATCATTGGAAACGCCGGCGTCAATGTAGTCGTCGTCTTCCGCTGAGTCGTGGCCTCCGGACTGGTCCTCATCATCCCATTCGTCTTCGGAGTTGTACGGACTCGGCGGGTTCTGATCGATGAGTTCCTCTCCGTCGGAGTCAGCGTCCACGACAGTGACTCGGCGGTCGCGGTTTTCTTCCTTGCGACTGCGCTTCTCATCTCGGCCGCTCTGATCCTTCCGCTTGTCATCTCGGCCTCGTGCGATCACGAGTCGGTCGCGTTGCTTCTTGCGCTTCTCGCCGAGGATCCGACGATTGATTATCTGTTCCACCTTACTGATGTCTTCCAACTGCAAGGGGTACATCAAATCCATCACATCGTCATCACCACAATGCAGCAAGAAGTGTTCGACATGGTCAGCTGCGTCGGCGCCACTCTTCTCGTACTGGATCTTGGCTGTCCGAGCATACCCGTTGAGTCGGATCAGGAAGTCGCAGATCGGTTCGTTGACTTTACGTCTCGCCGAGTAGTAACGAGTGCGGGCGGATTGGTCGAACTGTGAGCAATACTAATCCAGGAACGCCTCGCTGAGTAGTTTCCAACGTCGCTGAGTCTTCTTCGGCAGCTGCCTGTACCAACTCTTCGCCGCACGTCCCAAGCATAGCGAGAAAGGCTCGCACCATGCACTTTGGGGCATCCTGGTGCTCTTCATCTCGTAGATGAAACGCTTGAGCCACTGGAGCGACGGGTCAGAGCGGTAGCGCTTTCCTTCGAACTCGGCGATTTTGTCGAGCGAGGCGTGGGTTCGGGACTTCGAGGTACTGCGTCGAGTCCTCTTCAGCCGCGTCGAAGCTCAAGTTTCGAATGTAGTCTTTCACGGTTTCTTCACGATTACTTCTCACGTCGAGGGCGTCGTCGTCTTCTTCATCTTCTTCGTAAGCTTCAGCCTCATCTGCAGCGTCATACAATTCACGGTAACGACCTACATTCCGCTGCCCACGACTCGGCGCTCGCTGAGTCGGGTTTAGCTTCAGTGGAGTCAGCATGTGAGAGTCTTCGAAGTACGGAGTCCCTTGCGTAGGCGGGAACACTTCACGTCTCTTCGTCTCCGGGGTCTTCGGCAAAGGATCTTGCTCGGGTCCTCGCCGAGCGGTCTGAACTCGGCTACTCGGCTGTACACCTTTCTTCGTTCCACCAGGGGCCTTCTCCAGTCCAAACGCCACTCTCAGCTTCTTCTTCCATTGCCAGAGCTCGGCTTCTGCCACGGGTCAGACTCCAGTCGGACAGGATGAGGCTGTTTGGTCGGCTGTTGCACCGATAGCCCATCGCCTTCAACAGCAACACAGTTTCTTCCCACCAACTGGTTGATGTTGGCTGCACGCACCGGCTGAGTTAACTCGGGACCCAACATCGGCCACTTCGCCTGCGCCATCGCTACAGGCGCGAACATCATCATCCATTCCGATCTCGTTCTCATCTCCTCGCCGAGTCGAGCCAACACTTTATTGGCGCTCGGCGTATCGGCGTTCCTCGTCGCTTTCGGAATAAGGGGCGGACGGTCCCCTTGAGCAACGCCATGTTCTTCTTCATCTTCTTCATCGTCCGCACCTTCGTCGAGCTCGGCGGATAAGTTGCGCTCGACAGGACGTGGGGCTCCCATGCGTCCCACCTGCAGCGTCAACTCTTCCACCTCGCCAAGTAGCTCGGCGGTAGTCTTCGTTTCTCCGAGCTCAGCGGTCTCGGCCTTCTCTTCATACTCTCCTTCACTTGCATCTCCGTTCTCGCTCTCCTGGTCTTGGCGATCCTCGTCGAACTGGACGGTTCGTCCCACCTCCATCGTCATGGCGATGAGTCGTTGATCCGCCGGGTCCGACCCCGCGAGAGGCGATCCTCCAGCCGTCGCTGGGCTTCCGTCGCTCGGAGTTGCTGATCCCTTGACCATCTTCACTCTTCTCTTTCTCTTCTCTTCCTCTTAACTTGGTTAGCTGGCACCTATAAAAACAAGCACACACTCCTGTTCCCGGGTCGCGGCACCAGTTGTGGTGTAGTAGAACACACAAATATCGTCAGATGTGGATTCCTTACACAAACCACAACGAATCGCCGAGTTAGGTCGGCGGTTGTATGGCCTGCGCAGAGGGTGGTCCCCTCGCGGTCCGGCCCTTCCGGGACAGACGAGTGGCTCGCTTCCACTCGGTTTCGACTAACCAAGTCAGATCACTTCCGAGGCTCCGCCGAGTTTGGTTCGGCTGAGCTCGTTCACAACCCTGTGCCCTCCACCAAAGGATGGACGACGGCGCGCGAGCGCTTTTACAGGTCACCGAGCGCAGAGGCTGCTCAGCTAGAAGTGTTACGGCACCCGGGCTATCCGACGTACCGGCCCGCTGAGTATGCGGGACTTTCTTTCGCGCGTAGCGAGACTTTGTCCTACCCGGACCGACCTAATCTCTTGGCGCTACCAGTCAATACCCTACAAGCTATGCCTCTCGAGTATTGACGGCAGGCATAATCCAGCCCTATGCAGGGACTTACCGGAAAAGTGTACACGTGTCTTGGACTAGGAAAATTCTGCTCTGTTATCTTCTGGGAGCCCTTTCGGCTCCCCCTATTTAATCCTATGCTTCTCATACAAATATCTAATGAAATGTAGTCGTTTCGGATCTCTACCGACCCTTCAGCTGAGTTCCGGCGACCGTTGAGCTCAGCGGCTGTCCGGATAGCATATCCGGACAGATCGCCGAGTACTTACCGTGATCCTTGGCTCCTAAGCTCTGGGTTATCAGACCGAGCCGATTCTTGACCTAAAGTAGGTCGGCGTATGGTCGAATCTGGAAATCCCTACACCACACCAGCTAGTTGGGTGTATTTCATTCAGATAGCTCGACACGTACTCTTGAACAGCGCGGTCTCCAACCACTTTAGTGATCGGTTGAGGGTAACTAGCCTTCATTCTTTTGATTGAATCATCAAAAGATATGGTTGAGTGCGACGATTGCAAACGAAAAATGTCTGTGTTGACCTTGGACTCACTCAAGCTCAAAGACTTAAATTTATCCATGGTGTTGAATCGTAGATGTAAAGAACAGAACTTGAGATGCAGCTTTAAACCCCATTGAGCCATGAGTCGTTGCGCACCTAACTGCTTCCCTCTATCTGTAAAGGTTCCACGATCGTCGAGATAGATGCCAGCAACGAAGCAGTTGGTGAAGAACCAAGCAAAATTGTCGATAGTCTCTTTGTGGACGTAAGCAATTGCCACAGGAATCGTCCTCTTATCACCGTCCTTGCCAAGAAGCGTCAAACACACACCGTTGTACTCTGGATGCTTCATATGAGTCCCATCCACCTCCCACACGGGAAGCATCGAATCTTGAATAGCCACTACACTCCCAATGGACAAGAACAATCGATAAAATCTTCCCTTTGAGTCTAACTGAAGGCACACTCGAGACCCCAAGTTTATCTCCGCGAAGGCAGTCAAAAACCCTGGCAGATGACTGTATTCTACTTCAGGACTAATAGTAAACTGGGCTTTGGCCTTGCCTATGGCTCGATACACGACTGCTGGCTTGTCTTGAATGTTAATACCTTCAATTTCTTTAACACTATTGACAACCCGAGTCAAAGCTGTGCTATGCCCACTAACAATTGTAGCACTAAATCCAGCGAGTTCTTGTAGTTGACGGCCGTCTAAATTTGGTGAGCTCGTACAGCACTGCGAATGTATCAAGTCTAGCTTTGAGATGTACCAAGCTCGAACAGGTACATGAGCAAGCTTGGAAACACGTTTTGGCTTCGAACTGTCTAATGCTGATTTGGATGCTCTTTTCTTTGTAAAAAAAATGTACCAAACCACCCACACTCATTTGCAGTGCATACCCAAGTCTTCATATTCCCATACGCATACTTCCGGTACACGCTCTTGTTTTTATTCAACGCGTAGTCCTTTACGAAAACGCCCGCCGCTGACAGATCGTCGAAAAAGGCGTGTAGAACAAGGTGATCATGACCGTGAAGACGCTTTAGGTCTAGTTGGGGCATCTTTAAGTGAGATGTCGAGACTACAACATG